GTCATCTGCGTATTCTAGGTTCAATAAAAGTCCTCTTGTGATTAGGTCAATTCCTGTACAGTCAGACGTCGTGAGGGAGACCTCCATAAGAACGCCTGTGGTAAAATTGAATAAGAATGGGCATCCTTGACAGACACTACTTGACGTACACAGCTCACCCGACGTTAAATCACAGGCTATAACACGCCTACAAGTGTTCGAGCAAAGGTGGTGTACTTACTTAGTTTCCCTTTGAGTGATAGACATTGTCATAAAACTTCTCGATCCATGGCGTCGAATGCCGCCTCCAGGTCGAGAAATACAGCTATTGTCAGGCATTGGTAAGCGTGCTTGTGTTCCGGAACCTTGTGGAGTGTGAATATTTGGTCAATACACCCAGGGCCAGGTGTGAAGCCTGCCTGGTTTTCTCTGGCTTGCTGTTCCCGAGTCCCATTCAGGCGTCTAAGTATTATGGGATCTGGAATCGTCGACACTATGCTCGTTCGGCTTATCCCCCAGTGGTAATCACAAGAGGACTTCTCGCCTTTCTGAAGACTGGGATTATGAGCGACTAAAACCAGTTAGAGGGGATCATATTTGACTCCCGTACACTAGTTAACACTTCACTACATCCCATGCTATGGCAAGTTGGATTAAGCTGGAAGAAGGCTCAGGGTGACCAGACTGAGGCATGGCACTAGTTGGTGAAGTCCCTGACTTTGATATCATTCTTATTTTATCCACCTGTCTTTGTATACTGCTGTGAAGTGTGGCAACGTGAGCCGATGCACTTGTGTGCGAGATTCTACGTTGATTCTGTCTCTCTGAAAATTTGTTACGCGTGCTGAGCCACCGCCACCCTGACGCATAAAATTAGTCTAAGCAGGATTGGGTTGTAAGGACGTAAATGGTGGCCAGACCATGAAGTCTTTGATTGTTGATATGAAGCGAGTAAGGAGGTGTAGACTGTCTCTTTGTGATGCCCGAGATAATATAAGTTGGCAAGCGAATAAGTGCGACTTGAAAGTTGGAGTCACTGGCTATTGTGACTATATCTCAACGTTTTGCTTGGCGTAGCAAGATTGACAGGGTTACTGCATGCGTGTTTCAGAAACAGCATACATCCACGGTTAGAGGATGCATAATTTCGGTAGTTGAGACCTACTGTCTGATTTGGCACACGGTTGAGGTGTTGAAAGCCCAATGTGAATTTGGCAGCTTGGTTTAGGGAGACTAGGAATAGTGTTCCGCTGGCTGGGATCGTCCACATCGATGGCAGGGTGAGAGGCTGAGGAAATGGTGACGACCTCAATATTTGGACCATTAAGTCAAGGCGAAGGGGTAGCAAAGGTAAGGAGGGTAGGTTATATTTGATAGGGTTTCGTATACTGCTGGATGCACACAGGCGGCTAGTACCTCCCTTGTGTTCACACCGTGATTACTTGAAGAGAAAAAGGGGAAAGAGTTGCTTGACCACATGGCCTATGGGATATCTACTTGAGGCTTGTCACACATAGTGTTTCTGGATTGTTGGGTTGAGATTGGATCGTTCTAATGCTGCACCCCATACCACCAACATCGAAAATACCGATGAAAAAGTACACATCAACATGATACTGACGGTCCATTGTCGGAAACACGTTCATAGTGTTACACCTCGTCCATGCAGTTAGACGACTTCACCCTCGGAAATCCGTCACAACTTAAGAATTTACGTGATAATAGTAACGGCTTTCAGCTTAATAGCTATCTAACAGACATTTCTAGCATGGCAGGACCTCAAACAGTAAGCATTTCAGCCTGCATATCTCGTTACGCCACTGTGATATACAACCTCAACCACAACATTGAGGTAGCAGGTATCGCTGAGGCTGCTGTTGAATCAAAAAACGTTTTTGAAATAAAAGTTGTTGATGTAGAAGAGAGATTTAATGATGATGCAATTTATTCTATTTACCCATATCCGACAGCTGAACTTTAATATTGTGAAAAATGGTTTAGTCGAGTGTCACTCACCACCCTATTCCTATAGTTCGTATGGAGAAGGAAATGCGGATTGTTATTAATTTTAATTTGAGGGAATCTGCTGAGATATTACTGGTATCGAGAAAATTTGGACATTGTGCACATAGTTCTTAGTTTTGATCTCCTCTGAAACCAATGAAAATGAAACTAACCCACATATAGTAGTAGGTTTCCTGTCTCCAACTTTATGAAACAACTTTTTGTGGCTTGTTTGAAGATTTCGCTAGATGAATGGAGAAATAATACCATATCATACTGTAGATGAAATAATTAGTTGTCAGTTTGGAGAAGCCTGACGCCTAAGGTTTTTCATAGTAGAAGCCTATGGTTCACATGGTCAGTTCAATTTGCTGGATCTCTAGGTCAGTAAGACATAAGATTCGGAGACGATGACGTGAAAGGCGTCCGGTTAAACGATATGCTAAATAAAATTAGTCAAATTCATTTGAATCGGTAGTCTGAGTAATCTAATTCAAATTCATCCTGATACATTGAAATACACTAACACCATAATGTTTTCTCGTAACAACAGTTAGTATTTCTGGACTCTTAACGACAAACTGACAGACAGACGAAACCAGTAAACAACCTGGCATTACTACACAATGGTCCAAGTTGTCACACTTCATATCAGCACATCAAGCGAAAGTGCACTGAAATGAAAAGTGGAGAAAACAGTGAAAAGAAAGGAAGGAGGAATGATAAAATACTGAATTCAGCATGACGCCTAAGGAGAAGGTAGTGTATGGATACATCTAGACCAGTGATATCGGTTCGGAGCCATATCACCTAAAGTCTCCAACCACCGGTTTCTGTTGTCCCGCGGACCCCAACCGGCTTGTCTTGATCTCCATACGTGACTCAAACCAACAGTCAAAGATTTTAAGCACAGATGTTACCATGTTTTAGTCTGGTAACCTCTGAGGGTTACTATCTCAAGGCTAGTTCGGCTAGTATTGTGCGACGAGGCAAAGGTGACTAGGTAAGGATAACACACGTCGAAGCCTCTTTGGTCAATGAATATTCACAGGTGCATCAACTGAATTTCCTCTCCTCTGTAAAGGTCTACACCTGAATACTATGTTACTGACTTGATGACACCACGATACAGGGCGTATGGTACGAAGGTAATAGTTATCAAACACTTGAAGTCGTCTAATTGTTTTACGTTTAATGACCATGCTTGACACATAAGTAGGAGGACAAGAGCAAACTACAGCACAGGCCTTAATAGGGAATCGGATATCACGGTGATGCCGTAGATAACGGAACTTTGCGAAAGCGAAACAAGCCTATTGTATCCGTGCTGAGATTTCATCATTCACTGACCCAACTTCGCAGGAAAGTCAAGTTGTAAACCCGCTCTACGGCTTCACTCCCCATTGTTAAAGAAGAACTCACTAAAGACTAGTCATGTAGCAACAATTTTTATTTGGGTCGCAAGAATCGACTGCCAAACATTCTCAAGGGGTTCAGAAGACTTTGAATCTAATCAGCGTCTTCACATAACAGAACTATATCGTCTGCAAACTCTTGACCTGCTAAGGAGTAGTCGCCTGTGATAAGATCGGTTCCTGTAGAGTCAGATGACGAGATGGAGATTTCTATAAGTACGTACGTATGTAGTGAAAATGAATAGGAATGGAGAGAGTAGATATTGTTGACGGACACCACTCGACGTACATAACTCGCCTGATGACCCTTATCATAGGGACTCACACCCCAAAAAGTGTTTGAGAACAGAACCTTCAACAGAGTGGTATACTTACTTGGCATTTCCCTCAGTGAGAGACACTGCTGAGAGTCTTAACGGTTGAAGGGGTCGAATGTTTTCGTCAGGTTGAAAACGGAGAACATGTTTCATTTTGGTTTGTGCACCAGTGTTGCAGACATGGTCTAGGTTGAATATTTGGTCGATAAACACACGGCCACGTCTGAAATATGCCTGATTTTTTAGGGAATGTTGTTTCAGAGCGCTGATGCAGATACCCTTCCTACTTTATTTGTTACAATATTACAGCTTTCTCGACTTCAGCACGTGTTAGACGGTTCATCTCAATTTTAGATTGAAGATGAGAATGATTAGCGAGCAACAGAATAAGTGTTGTTCAGTTGAATTATTCTTCGAAGTGTCTCATTCATCGTTTCAGTCGTCTCGGTTACGAGTGTATCATAGACCTAACTTTCATTAGGCGCTGATGGTTCCGCTCCAATAACGTAAATTAGTCTAAATAGCTGCCTATTATTATCTGTAGCTAATAGTTTTTCCAACTCTTAGCCCTTCGCCGCGCACTACTGTACGCAATCGTTGGGTAGACTGTTTTCAATCTACATTTGGGTCCCTTCCACTTCTCATTGTGCTTGCAGCCTGCAGGGATGCGTTCGAGCGCATGCATTATTTCAAAAGAAGCTGGTGAGATTCAATGGCTCGACGAGTTGGCTACGATCTTCAACGCTGTTTTTTCTGCTGACTAGGATATGGCGCCAGGCTGCTTTCGGATGAGTAATGTTGTTCTGTTCCGATAAATGTCTAATCATTTTGTTGCTGAGTTCAGCTTTCGTATTTTCGTTTTCCAGTCGTACTCGCAATGGTCTCGCCTCTATAGTTTTCTTACGTCCATTTAGACGCAGAAATACACATGCTTGAACCAGTGTTTGGTCGCTGTCTAAATACGTGCTCAAGGAGGAGTGGTAATCTTCTATCAACCCTCTTCAGAGGCAACTGAGACCAGTATGGTGTATCTATGTGCACCACTGAGTTGAGGTCAGTGGATGCCATCCAGGCAATATCTCTTTTTGTGTCTGAAGTTTGTAGTGATACGTTTAAACGCGTCACTTCAGATTCGAAGTTAGAAATAACTAATAAAAGAATTAATAAACTTCTAAAATAAATGCTGGTACGGAAACCATGGGATAGAAAATCAGTTAGAAAACGTAATATACATTGAAATGTAAAGTAAAATGATTTGGAATAAGGAATAGTTATAAGAAGTTACCCGACTGTTTGTTACTTCTGAGGCTTCATTAGAGTCAGTTGGGGAAGTAAACCACGAAGCATCCTGATGAAGAGAGTTACTGGAAATATCTTGACGAAATTTACGAGGTTTCAATGCACGAGATCACTAGACACAGGCAGCAGCTCTGTCATCCATGTATCACGTTTAGGTTTCTCACTAATTCGTTGACTTCCACCGCTTGAATGCTAAACAGAAGTGAAGACAGGTATGCAATGAGAAACAATATTAGTTATACTAAATTTGCATCACATTAAATTAGATGTTTGCAAAATGAACAGTCCGTAGTGAGAAATCTCATTACGATTTCTAGTGGGACAAAAATATTCAGATCACGTAATGAGATTTGTTCGACACCACGATTGGCACCAAGATTGAGAACTGTACGAGACATACTGCTGACTGATCAGCAATGTTCACTAGCTAGATTACCGTAATTTAAACACTGGAGGGTCGTTTCGATCGTCTAGGGCCCAGAGAATCAACCATATGCCCAGAGTGCTAGAAACACTCTATTTCAAGCACACGGCTGATGAGCTCAGCCGGAGACGAATGAAACGGTCCTCTGGTGCTTAAATCACGGTGATTTGAATAAAAGGCACTGTTGACCAGTGTGTATAATGAAAAAACAAACATGTCAGTCAATAGTATATTTGTGAATTGTCACTTGTATTATCTCGTCGTTGATTGTACGCATGTTTCGTCCTTTTGGGGATTTGTCGGTCGCATGCACCTGCCAAATAGGACGAGAAGTGCGACGTGGATTCCCCTGCTAGCCACTATCCATTATTAATATCAAAACTGAAACACAGGCAATATTGAAGCAACCGTACAGGAGCCCATATGGCAATAAGGACCGATCAATTTGGTTCAATCAACGACGGGGAATTACAACCAATAACATCAGAACTATAGGAGTCGCACAAGAAGTGGCTGTTGTAACTCAGTGGCCTAGTGGATAACGCTCTGGGGTTTGTAGCGATCGGTCCGTGGGAGCAACACTACTCACTCGGAGGCCGGTGAGTCCAGGTGATGAGTCACAAATAGGATGAAAAGCACGTTATGAATTCTTCTGCAAGCCCCTACTTATCATAACAGTATATTTTGTATAAAAATAAGAAGTATTTGTACAACTGTTACTAAAGCGTTATTTAAAAGATTTATAGTTCTCTAGTGCACTACTTTGCTTCTGGGCTGATGAACTTTCAGTTAGTTGAATAACACTACTGTCTGACAAGGCTTCGATATCCTGGTGCATAAAATGTATATTTATTTGTATGTTTGTATGAATTTTGAGTGTATCTGATGAAAGTAATGAGGGAGTATTGTAAATAAACTTTAAATAAGGCTTTCTAGATGCTATGACGTGACTGAAATCTGAACATTTAAACTAGAAATACTTCCTAACGCATTTATTTCTGTTAGACTTCTTATTTGTTTCATTCGTGATTCAAGGAGGTTTTCACTATAGATTGCTATTAACCAAAAAAAAAAAACAACTTTTGAAAACTAGTAAACACTGTGGGTGGCTATAATTTAAAATTTTCAGGTCTTCTGGTTTAAAATCCACTGGTTCATATTTATGTCGAATTCATAGTTTCAACTGTTTCACTTCTTTTTCATCAGTTTGCCTATCAACTTTTAGGATATTTTAGCCATGACTTCTGAAAACAAGTTTGAATATTCACTCGGATTCATTATATAAATTATCGATTGAAATATCACTGACCTTCAGACACTATCAACTGGTCAACAATATAGGCGAGTATAGATAGTCATTTAGAACAATAAAGTAAGCAAATGAAATTAAGATAGGTTAGTACAACCTAGTGAATCATGATATACGAATACATAGTATATTTTTAATGCAGCAAACACTCTTACTCATGTATTTTCTGTTCAGGCTACTCTATCATATATAGGTAGGCTTGTTATGTTTTTTTATATACCAATTTCATTCTTAAATGATTCAGTATTTAAAAGATTGGAATTTCGGTAGAAGGACAGAGCATAATTTAAATGAGTAAACTGAAATGAGATTCTTAGGTGTTTCATTCTTTCCATCTACTGTAAACTGCGCTAGAAGTTTTCATCGTGAATATCATTTAGTCAACCAGTTAATCCACTTACACTTATAATGTTGTAATCTTTTATTAAAATCTAATGAATAACGCAAAACAAATCTACCTAAGGCTTTAACATGATTCAATCAATGCTTTTCTTTAAAGCAGTATTTACCAAGTGAATAAGTAAGCCATAAAAAAAAATCAAATCGAAATAATAATCAGATTTTGCAGCAAGATTGATACCTGAAAAACGAAAATCAACATACACCAGATTTCAGATGTCTCCATTCTTCTCTCAATTCCTGTCCAGGTATTAAAGGTCCAATAGTATCAATCTCTTCAAATTCATCCAATGATTTAGATTTATCATGCTCAAATTCTTTAGCCAATTTTTGTCGAAATAAATCAGGAGGTAGTGAAGGTCCTATTCCGCTGGATGGGGTAACATCATCTGGTTGAAGAACCGGTCCGATAACAACCCGATCAAGTTCAAAGTTCGTTGCTTTACCAGACATGTTGAATTGATACCTAAGCACAAAGTTAATGAACAAAAAGTATTATAATAAATTTAATAGAGCTTACTTCGGTTGACAGTATGGCAATTCTTAAAATAAGACAAGAAATCAATGACACTGAAAAGCATATACAATCTTTATTCAAATGAAGCATCGTTAAAACAAAAGACTAAATGCATTTGTTAAGCAGAACCACTGGCGAAAGGTGGTTGAAATGCGTTTACCAACGTCTCAGTACTTTCAAAATTTGAAATTTCCCCGTAGAACTGAAATTTTTTCTACTTGAAGTTTAGATGAAGACATCATATTTTTACGAGTGAAGGGGGAATGGAGGATAACTCGAGGTTACCCTACTTTTTCTCCTTTTCTTCTTCCTTCGAAATTAGTACTTAACATCAACACAGCCTTTTGTTGTATAATTTCTATAGAGTATTGTTGTAGGTTACAACATTGTGAATGCATATATATATATATATATATATATATATATATATATATATATATATATATATGAGACGTTTGTACATTGTGAAATGGATTAATACATCATAACCTGACAACTCTATTCTCTATACATTCGGGGTTTCAGACAAATACATAAATGAGACTCAGTCAATGAATTCGAACTACAGAACTATAGTTCCAGTGAACTGAACTGTTTATTCCTGTTGTCTAAATCACAAACAGCCTAATTAAAAGTGATATGATTCTATTGACAGTAACCCTAGGCTCAACAAATATTAAATTTCATTTACAATCAAAAAAAGTCTTGTTTGATTTAAGTTTTTGACGATTTTACACTCCATTTACAGCCCTAAGAACTATACTTCTTAAGGTCAAAATACGTGTTATTCACTGTTTCAATTCACCACTGAGTAGCTTTAAGCGCAGTCATTTATACCAGAGGGTTATTTTACACAATTTTCATTTTAAGGAAAAAGTGAGAAAATCAAATATTAGGCAAAAAACATGAACTGTGATGGATAATATTTATTTCGTTTGTTAAACAAATGATTTTCAACAACGAAAATGATAATGACCACATATAAAATACTAAATATTCATGAAATTCCTACGTGGATTAAGGAAACCTCTTCATATTTTATAACATATATAAAAATGGAAAGAAAAATGAGTGAAGTAGAACAAAAAGATGTAAATAAAGGATGTTTCTTTTAAAAAAAACTGAGCATAAGTTATTTTATTAAATTGAATACTTTAACAGTTAGATAGAAAATAATAAAAGTCTTTTTAATTTCCTATGAAAAGCAATAAATATCATTAGTATAATCCCAGTGACAAAAATTTGTATTAAACGAGTTTCCGTAGGCAGATAACATTTGTTAATTGCATAATTTGTAGGTGAAATTGACAACTAAATGAAAAAGAAGACAATATGAACTTTAAGGATAATAAATACTATAAATTCTTAATGATATTCAATATTACAAATACTGAAGTTATGAGATAATCTAGTTTAGCGTTCTATTTTTTTGCATAAGGTTAACTGTTCGTGCATATTGTGTACACTTTCTTGTTCTCTTCTCCTTCTATTTTATCAAAGGAAAATCGGTACAATCAAAAGAAACACGTTCAGTTTAGTCAGCTGCATTAAATTTCGCTGTATTGTTGTAAATCATTTTCTAAGTGTATTGGTTCATCCAAGTCAGTCAGTCAGATGCAGTTGGTCTGAACGATTTGGTACTGTGAGTTGAATGTGTGCGGGTACACTGCTGACGAGCTTGACCCCAAACGAGTGAAACGGTGGTCAAGTGATTAGATCACTCTGATCCGGCTAGCGAAATCTACATATTAGTGTGAGTGGTCTCCAACTACTCATTTTTTCCAATAGTATAATTCGATAGTGAATTATTATGGAGAATATGCAGCATATAAGTCGTTCTTCAAACGTATTAACATGTGATGATTTACTACTTAAGAAGCTGAAGCACTCCTGACTAACTTAACATTTTGACGTGAAGACAATGTGAGCACATCTTGATGTAGAATGTAATCTTGAAAACATGATTGAATAAGAACCAAGGTTTTCTTTGTGAAGTTAGTGCTAACTAAGTCACAAAACCTGGTGGTGGTGAGACGTTCACTTAAAAATATCAAAGCTTAGAAAACATCAAACTAATATGAACTAAATCAAGTTTTTAAAAATATCTCTGATAACCATTTGATTAACTCACCATCAGAAATCCTGGGTTTCCCAGATTTCGCCAAGAAAAACTAGCAACTGACCATTCTGTAACAACAGAATCTGATAGATTACCGAATCTATGCGTCATTTTACACGAATAATGCGTATGACCGGATAGTACTAATCGTGGATGAAGGGACTCTAGTAGCTAGATCCACATGGATTAAAAATAAATACGAACATAAATAATAAGTGTAATGTTACGCTAAATATAGCAAAAACAAAGCTAACAGATACCATTGTGGAATGTCAGTGGATACTGAAAAGTCCAGGTTTTTTAAATGATTAACGACTTATGTTATTATTTCAGGGGAGTCCTAATTCGTAGCTACTGTAAGTAATGTTGCAGCACCGTGGGGTTGTGGCTCAGTGGTTTGGGGAGATAACCATTAACCGATGGGTCACGGGTTTGAGCCCCGCTCCACCTACCAAGTTGTATTACTAGCTCTCACATAATATGTGTGGCTCATTGCCTACAGCACAGATGTGCAGAAGGTGGTTGAGTGCGTCTTCTTTATTGCAGCATTCATATTCACTTATATTTATCAGAACAAGAATGATTTGAGTAAACAGTTGTTCTCAGTAACTTCTTCTTCAGGCTGTACAGTTATAAATCCATGAGAATAAGTGGAATATAATGGCCGAAATAAGATGAGATGTGCAATTATTACTATAGTAAAACAGTCAGTGTTATGGGTGAATGGAGATCCAGCAGAATGGAATGGTGGGAATCATATACTAGTGATAGATAGTGGCTAGCAGTAGAATCCAGGACGCGCGTTTGGTCCTATTTGGGATTCGTCAGCTGGATGTCCTTACCTCCCAGTGATTGTTCCCACTGGGACTCGAACTCAGGACCAATAGCTTCAAAGGCAAGCAACAACATTAAAAACTGTACCCGTTGCACAAGAAATGGCTATCGTGGCTCGGTGGATAACGCTCTGGCGTTTGAAGCAACCGGTCCCGGTTTCGAGTCCCAGTGGGAGCAACATCATTCACTGAGAGGCAGGTACATCCAGGTGACAAGTCCTGAATAGGACGAAATGTGCAACCTGGATCCCACTACTAGCCACTATCCATCATTAATACATAATTAAAACACAGGCGATACCAAGGCATCAGCGCAGGGGCACATATGCCAATAGAGACTGATCAATTTACTCCAATCAAGGACGGGAAAATACAAACAACAACACTGGAGTGGTAATGGTGTGTTAGTTGTGCAATGAAATTACCACTGACTGGACAATTATAAAATAAGGAGACAAAATCTACAGGTAATGATTCATTCATATACATGTGTGTGTGTGTGTGTGTGTTTACTAAGGTCCAAATAATAATAATAGTAATAGTAATAGTAATGGTAACAATAATAATAAGGTGATGACGACACATTCAAGTGGGCAGAAAACCATGTGAATACTATGATGAAATAGAGAATAATAAATGTGAGGTGTTACTTCACAGTTGGAAATGACTACTGGTAAAATGTATCAATAAAAAACGACATAAAACTAATAACATAAGAAAATGAAAGTTTATCAATGCAATGACAAAGTAGAAAAAAGGTATGGAAGGTTAAAATATGCAATTTGTGGTGGGAAAGTTCATCAAGAACATGTCAACCCTATTGTGAGCCAAGGTAAACAAATTGGATGTACATATTCCTTTTGAACACATTATTATTATTATTATTATTATTATTATTATTAGTCCCTTGGGTTCCTAGTGGAACATAGGGCTTCAGTAGCACGCCTCCAGTGACCTCTGTTCTCTGAGATCTTTTGAACCTGGTCCCACGACAGCCCAGAAGCTCTCATTTCCTCCTCGCACGATCTCCTCCATGTCACCCTTGGACGTCCAACTCGTCGCTTCCCATGGGGATTCCACTCGAGGGCCTGACGCGTGATGTCCTCAGTCGGCCTTCTCAGTGCATGGCCAATCCATCTCCACTTCTTCCTGCATATTTGTTGCGTGATAGGTTCTTGGTTGGTTCGTTCCCAGAGTTCCTTGTTGCTTATTTTTTCTGGCCATCTGATCTTCAGCAGCGAGCGTAAGCAGTTGTTGATGAATGTCTGTAGTTTATTGGAAATGCCTTTCGTGACGCGCCAAGTCTCTGAGCCATACAAGAGCACTGACTTGACGTTGGTGTTGAAAATCCGTATCTTGTTCCGCATGCTGAGTGCAGAAGATCTCCACACTGGTTTCAGGCTAATGAACGCCTGTCTTGCTTTTCCGATTCTGACTTTGACGTCCTCGTCCGTCCCGCCTGTAGTTGAAACAGTGCTTCCTAGATAAGTGAAGGAGGTTACTTCCTTCAAGTTTCTCCCGTTGACGGTGATTGGAGTTTGTTGTTGTTGTTGATGGTGGTGGTGCGGTATCTTCATCACTTCTGTCTTCTCTATATTCACCTGAAGTCCCGTCTTAGCTGCCTCTTCTATCAACTTGTTAGTTTTTGCCTGCAGATCTTCAAGTTTATGTGACATTAGGCACAAGTCATCGGCGAAATCCAAGTCTTCTAGGTTCTTTTCCGTCGTCCAGTGTATCCCCCTCTTCTCGCTGCCTACTGTTTGCTGCATGATCCAGTCCACCACAATAAGGAATATCATGGGGGATAGTAGGCAACCTTGTTTCACTCCTGTCTTCACTTCAAAAGCATCACTGAGCTTCCCATTGTGGATTACTTGGCATGTGGCATCTTCATATAGTTGTTGAATGAGGCGGATAAAGGTTTGCGGTACTCCGTAGTATTGAAGCAGTTTCCAAATTACTTCTCGGTCGACGCTGTCAAAGGCCTTCTCAAAGTCGATGAAGTTGAGGCAGAGAGCTGATTGCCATTCTATGCTCTGTTCTATGATGATACGAAGCGTTGCAATTTGGTCTGCACATGATTTGTACTTCCTGAAGCCTGCCTGTTCCGGTCGCAGTTTTGAATCCAGTGCATCTTTAAGCCTCTCCAGGATGATGCGGCTTAATATTTTACTTGGGGTGGACAGGAGAGTGATTCCGCGCCAGTTCTTGCAAGCACTGAGGTCTCCCTTCTTCGGCAGTTTGACAAGGTAACCCTTCTTCCAATCGTCAGGTACCTTCTCTTCCTTCCACACCTTCTGCAATAGTGGTGTGAGCATGTCCGCTGTTGTCTCTGCATCTGTTCTCAGTGCTTCTGGCGGTATTCCATCTGGTCCTGCTGCTTTCCCGCATTTCAGTAGCTTTATGGCGTTCAGGACTTCCATTTTCGTTGGGGGATTTATGTTCACTTGTAATTCAGCGGCTGCAGGTGGTATTTCTGGACGAAGTGCAGGTGGTGGTCGATTCAAGAGCTTCTTGAAGTGGTCGGCCCATCGTTTCCTCTGTTTCTCTTCTTTTGTAATTAAATTTCCTTCTTCATCTTTTATTGGTTTCATCTGTGTTGGTCTCTTCCCTGATAGCAACCTGGTTATTTGATACAATGTCGTCAGGTCTCTCTTACCTGCAGCCTGTTCTGCTTCACTTGCCAGTGTTTCGTAGAAGTGTCTTTTGTCTTTGCGTGCACTCTTCTTCACTTCTTTATCCAGTGTTTTATACATTGTGCTCAGTTCCTCTTGTCGTTGAGCATCCTTGCACTGGTTTATCTTCTGCTTCACCATCCTCCTCTCCTCTATCAGCTTCCAGGTATCCGTCGAGATCCATTCCTTGTCTTCTTTCTTCTTCCTTCCTAATACTGTTGTGCAGGTTTCTTTCCACATAGCTTTCAAAGACTTCCAGTGTTCTTCCACACAGGTTTCTTCAGGGATGTTCCTCGATGTCTCCCATTTTGTCTTGATGGCTGCCTTGAAGATCTCCTTTGTAGTTTCATCCTTCAGTTTCCGAGTGTTGTACTTGAATTGAGGTCTATCACCAGCTTCCTTGAAGGCTTTTAACTTGATTTGGAAGGTTCCTTGCACTAGATAGTGGTCTGAACCTACATCTGCTCCTCTTCTTGACCTTGTGTTAAGTAGACTGCGTCTCCATTTTCTTGAGATTGAGATAAAGTCGATTTGATTTTTAGTGTGTCCATCTGGTGAAATCCATGTCGCTTTGTGGATATCTTTGTGCCTGAACACACTGCCTCCAATCACCAAATCGTTGAATGCGCAGAATTCTGCAAACAATTCTCCATTCTCATTCATTTCACCTAGCGCTTCTCGACCCATGGTTAGTTCTCTTCCTGTGTTGTCCCCTCCAAGTTTGGCATTCATGTCGCCCATCAGAATTTTGATATCGCCAACTGACGTCTTGTCCAGTGTTGATTGAAGTTGTCTGTAGAATTCCTCCTTTTTCTCTTGCTCTGCATTATTTGTAGGTGCATAACATTGTATGATTGTGACCTTTCTTCCTTTTGAGTTGAATCTTGCTGTCATGATCCTGGAGGAGATTGGTTCCCACTGCATGAGAGCCTTCGATGCTCTTGAGGACATCATGATAGCCACTCCCTCAGTGTGCTCGTGGTTGGCGTCTGGGTGACCGGAGTAGATTATTGATTCTCCAGTTGACAGTTTGGAGAGTCCACTCCCATTCCATCTGCTTTCGCAAATCCCAAGCACTTCGATGTGATACCTTCTCATCTCCTTTGCAATCTGGGCTGCCTTACTGGGTTCAAACATCGTACGGACATTCCATGTCCCCACGTTTACTTTCGCTTTCATCGAGAGAAGACACATCGGCCAATTGGCTTCCCGAAGGCTTTCACCAACTGGCGTCATTTCGCCTCTCCGATTCCAGCGGGGAATAAGTTTGTTTTCATTTTTTATATTTTGTTTGTGCTTTGAAGTTTCTTTAGCGGTTAGATTTGTTTTACGGGGTAGGGTTGCTAGCCCTATGCCCAACCTTCCCTCTTTACCCGGGCTTAGGACCGGCTAGTAACTAGTAAACTAGTTAACCAGGCGAGGTTTTTGAACACATAGGTCAGGTTTTCTTGCGTTCATATTTATCACTATACTCAAATAAATACTTTTAAAATGCATTTAGAATTTAGTAAAAACTTATTAAAATATTCAAGCTTTCAAATCACATTGCTTTTATTGAGAAAATATCATCACAAAATCAAGAAATTGATAAATATTCTGCAAAATTGAGACATAGTAAGTTAACAAAATCTAAGACAAACCTCCATTCTGTACCAATATTGTAGGAAACGACAAGACAGAGACGAAGGAAGGAATGTTTATTATTGACATATTGTAAAGTGGTCATCAAATATTGTACACTTTCCACTAAGATAATCATTTGCACAATGTGGTTCATTTCTCCTTCTGCTTCCATTCTGATTTGGTCTTAATACGTCCACATTGTCTCTTGCGTTTCTCTGGGCAGAATCTTTACCCATTGCTGGTAATTCCCTATGATTTCTGTCGCCCTCTCAACATACACTACTTATATTTATTCTAATCAGCAGAGCCCACTACAATCTTATTGACCAATTTATTCTGTAGAAATTGACATCTAACAGCTTCCAGTAAAATAAGAAATTTGAAAGCTGTACGAAGAGATCCAAACTGTTGGTGGTTATGCCAAAACTGTGCACTATAAACTGATGGGTAGATAGGTGACTGTGAAATGCTAATCATCAAAAATTCGCTTTAAATGCATAGGAGACAATATCGAAGCATTATCAGGTTAATTTTACTATACTAAACAATGCTGTAAAGATAAAGTGAGAATTTCGCCAGAGGATTTGAAATCAATACTGAGATTTATTTAATATCACAAGTTTTAGAAGTTGGGAAATTTAGGAGCGACAAATTCAAAGAACAGTGATGACTGGTAAGAGCAACTTGCTGAAAGTATGCAGGAGATTTATCTTTGCTGCTTGTATGCATAATTTAAGTGTTACCTTATATGATGATGTAAGATAAAATATGACCAAAAACGGTTGGATACAGGCTGTCAGCAATAAATTCTTGCAAAATATAAAACAGAAGAAATACAAAATACGAGACATACTTGTTTTGTCGCCTCTTTTGAAAGACAGTCAACTTTCGGCCTATTAAGGACTGCTCTCAAATGCTTTGGCATAGCATCGATAGGCTTTGTTGGACAATTGCTATCAGAAGTTCGATAAAGAGGAAAATGCTGTAGAAGGATTGGACGTGTATAAATGAAACTAGATGAATCTGATATGGTAAAGGAATAACAAAGAGAAGTGCACAAAAAGAAAAAAAATTGGCAATCATATAGAACTTGCATGTTAGTTACTACAGGCATTAATATGCCTTCATAATTACATGATTGTTCCAAAAAAAGTAACGATATACTCAGCTTTTACGGAAATGAGGCAGATATACGAAAATTAAGAAAGATAGAACCATTCCTCTCGGCTGTCAACGGAACAGACATTTTAATGACCACATCCAGAACTGTACTACAATCACTGTTTTCCTTATTACTATTACTATTGTGAAGCTAAAAACAAGTCTCTTCGTAAATTTACGAAGTAAATTTATGAAATTCTTGTCTTGGAAGATCTTCACTTCAGCTAAATGTAGCATAATTTTACCATGGAAAACAAACATACATAACTCAGACAGTAAGAAAAAATCAGTTATATGTATATTGAATACTTCGACCAGCATCTAATATCCCCTAATGCCACTGAGTCAAATGACTTCACGGATTCCACACAAGACCTCTTTAAGCACCAACAGATGGCAACCCAACACAGCTATCCATCATTCCACAGAGCCAAATAATACACTACTCACCTTCCAGATTCTACAAATCATTCCCAATGTTGGAAAACAGTGAACGATATGGAAGCTGCTAACACGACAATCGTGGTAAATGACCAATTCACTGAAACTGATGTTTTAAGATGACTTCACTCGATGAACGACCATCTTCGTCACACCAATACACGTACTATCAGACTTGCATGGTTTCTCCGCCAAGAGCTGCCAAAATAACCAAGACATTGGTGGTCAAACACACAGATTCATAAGACATTCTCAGCTTGGAGAAGGTAGGTTTCACGGGCACCGACGCGTTGTATACCCGACCTTTCACATCCAGATTAACGACAGAAATGTAACCTGAACCAGAGAACGCCGCTCTGGCTTTCGATAAACGGCTAGGAATGTGATCAATCACACATATCTCATCACTCACGGAAGTGTCCAAATACACAAACTTTTCGATTGGGTTCGACATGTCTCCTCCGAGAGTGGGTGTAGTTACAAGCCGACATCAGTCTTCCAAAAGCCATCCGCACTTTGGTTATATGGAGCATATGTCGTACCTACAAAGACAGATGGCCAACTGGTTAATTGGTATTTGGGAAGCCTGTGTCGTCGCATGAAGAGACGACATAGTCCTCATATTCAAGGTAAGAAAGTCTTTCTCTCGATAGTAGATCTGCGATATCACGTTATATCTCCTTCAGAGCTGTAAGTGATGGTGAAGCTTAGCCCTGTCTCAAGCTAAAGCTGAATTTAGACAATAGTAGTGCTATGCCTACATTGTGGGTTAGTGCTAAAGTGACCATGGAACACAAAATACTAGGATTTAAGTTATTAGTGTAGTAGACCGTCTAAACGACTCTAAGAATTGCACCACCCAGCTTTTGGAGCACTTTCGCAGACTATTTTATGGACACCAGGTTTCCTGCTGAAGATGGTTTAGATAAGCTGGAATATCGGTAGGAAGCCTAGTATGGTGGGCACAATGCAAATGATCAGCAGGACTCGTTCAGCTCTTAGGACTAAATAACATGAAGTTGGTTAACCTCCAGTGACCAAACAATGTACATACCATTGTATTCGCTGTCGGTCGGGCTAGACAGAAGAGTATCAGGAAGTTTTTAGAGCACCAGTCTTTCTAAGTTGAACATTCTTACTAGGCTTTTTATGAAGTTTAATGCGTGCTGCCAATGCTTTTCCATACGTTTTGGAGGTTGGGCAGCTATCTTAATTCCGCTTTGATTTGTAGTTAATTGCAGCAATAAGGGTTACCGATTTCCTTATACTGACTTATTTAAAATGACAATTTCGATAACTACTGAAATGCAAAATCAACTTAAAGCACGATAAAGCGGCATCAGTACTAGATTCAGCAAATATACGCAGCTAATAGTCATTTGAAGTCAGAATAGGAATTATTGGTTAAATGTTTTATTGATAAACCGGCGTTGCAGAAACGTTGGTATTTCTAAATGAACTCATGACCTTAGTAATTGATTGCAATACAAACTGTATGAGTCAACATTTGAGTGGTAAAACAACGCCAGATAGCAGCACAACGGTCACTTCTATGCCAGAAGTTAATGCTAACCAGAAATAGGTTAAGGCCTGCACAAAACTGTAAAAGGTTATCATGGCTAACCACTAAAATGATCATCTGAATCTGGACTGAAGACACCTCAGTAGACCATTAGCGCGTAGATAACATAGTCATGTTAGATAAAGTCACTGACAAGATAGAGAGCATTTCAGGGCTCGTGAGAAAGTCTAGGGTGCGTCTCTCATCACTCGGATGCAAATCGTTTCTTCACGGCCGATTTGAGGCAGTACCTTGTTTAATAATAGGGAATGAAGTGGTTGTGTGCTTTGACCACTTAATTTACTTGGAATGTGGGACCACCCGTGCTGGGTTAGTAACCGACGAAATCTTTGCACATATACGAAAGGCTCGCTTGAATTTTACCCACTTACACCATTTATGATGCCGCCGTGAGATTCACTTTCCTATTGAGAGCCGACTGAACTCCATTGCATTTTGCTCTGTTCTACTATATGGCTGTGAAATATAGACATAAGAAGACATCACATATTCGACCGCTGTTGCCTTCGTACCACAGGCAATATGTCATGGAACCGCTACATAAAAAATATAGAGGTCAGTCGCAGAGTCTTATATAGAAGACATACATCAGTTAATGGACTAGTAAACCTTCGTCGAATCAAATGGCTAAGATATGTGTTACGCATACACAGTCACAATATACTCTGTCATGCTATGGTAGCTGAAGAAGGTTCAAGTTCGAAAAAGGTTTCCTGGCGCGTATCTTGATGTGGTGATGTGACAACTCGGACCGTTACGCAATAATGTTGACTGACTAAGTTTTGAGCTTATTGTCTTACCCATGTAACTTTATTCCAATTTCTTCGCAAATATTTAAAGTATCAAAATCACATTATTACTGAAACTAATTTTATCCATATACATTGGATACCGAATAACATAATGAATTAGGTCTTTTTAGATCTCGTGGCGTGTGTCTTTTGATTTACCTGTTGCTGTCGTGTTTTATGTTGGCACCCGTCGGTTAGGATAAGACTCATAACATTCTAGTCAAACAGAGGTGATACTTATCAGCGTTATCCATATTCACATTGTAACTAACTTGGGACTATTATCATTGGACATTCGGGCACAAAAGGCTCCATCTATTATATGAGGGGTAATGAAACTAACCAATATCGCCTACTTTATTAGCCGGTCCTGAGCCCAGATAAACAAGGAAGGTTGGCCATAGGGCTAGCAACCCTATCCCGGAAAACCAATCCAATCGCCTAAAGAAACCTCAAAGCACGAAAAAAAAACTTATTCCTCGCTGGAATCGGGGAGACGAAATGACACCGATTGGTGAAAGCCTGCGGGAAGACATTTGATCGATGTGTCTTCTCTCGATATAAGCAAAAGTAAGAATTGGGACATGAAATGTCCGCAAAATGTTCGAAGCTGGCTGGCTGGCAAGACTGACCAGGTTGTAAAAGAGATGAGAAGGTATGGTATAGAAGTGCTAAGCTAGGATTCTGCGAAAGCAGATGGAATGGAAGTTGACTCTCCAAACTGTCAACTGGAGAGTCAATAGTCTACTCCAATATTGTCGTCCACACGACAACCACGAGCACACTGAGTTCGGAGTAGCTGTCATGATATTCCCAACAGCATCGAAGGCTCTCTCTCTCTCATGCAGTAGGAACAAATCTCCTACTGCAGGATCAGGATCATGACAGCAAGATGGATTCAACTCAAAAGGAAGGAAAGTCACAATCACACATTGCTACACTACGCACCTATAAATAATGCAGATTAAGAGGAGGAGGAATTCCACAGACAACTGCAGTCAGTACTGGACAAGACCCCAACCCAGTTGGCGACAACAAAATTCTAATGGGTGACATGAATGCCAAACTAAGAGAGAACAACAAAGGAAGAGAACTAACCGTGGGTCGAGAGGCACTAGGTGAAATGAACGAGAATGGAGAACTGTTTGCAGACTTCTGCGCATTCAACTATTTGGTGATTGGAAGCACTGTGTACAAACAAAAGGACATTTACAAAGCGACATGGATTTCACCAGACACACAATTACCTAATATAACTGAATATTCCTCCATGTTTATGAACTCGGTATTCAGTAGAAATTAACAAGAAGATAGATGTAGAAAAATAAGAATAAAGGCAATGGAGAACACAGGACTGTAATACTGATATTTGGATGAAGGCTTGGCGTGAATACATTAGTATTATTACAATTAATTTTCAGTCATATCTTCGGGTTTCCAGCTATCGAGTTCGGTTATGCATCAACCATAGTCAATTAAACCAACATTCCTACATATAGTTCATATCAGTAATTAGATACTTCATAGGTTAAAGTCACATCTTGGTTTATTCACTCTCACTACAGAACTGGCTAAAAACTAACTATCTTCAAAACCACTTAGTGACAAAGTTTAACATATGACAACACTTCGTCAATACAACTACAAGTATCATTCACAAATTTTATCATTAAGTTTCATAGGTACTAAAAATTCATGATGATCCACCTATAAATAAATGTTGTAACGACCAGGGCATCAACCATCAAAACCACTTCATAAAATGATAAGAATAAACTTGAGTGAACCATGCTTTTAAACCCATTTCAATCGAAGTACAATATATAAATTACTGTTGAGACTTACCGTTAACATCAACACTAATATATGGATATTTATAAGAAAGACCCATGCCAAGCTCCTTTTCATAGCAAATTTGAGGATTGGCTCGAGAGGATATTCTCAAACAATCAAGATATCTCTTTATAGATTTTAGAGTGACTGTCGCATTATAACATAGATCACAGTTATCCCCTTCAAACGCAATACTGTTTGCAAAGACAAAGTGGATCCCACCAAAAGACCACAGATAAATGGAGGGTAAGTAAACATTGCCACTAATATCGCGATGAAATCGATCATTTAAAAAGTCATCAGTGCTAAATGAAAAGTGAAGAAAAACTTTAGTTACTCTGCTACAATTTAATGCATAAATCAACAAAACGATTGACTATTTTAGTGTAATGATAGTGATTTAGAAATTTCAACCAACAAAATGGATTTCCAGTATTCGAGATAATGTAAAGTAGCTACATAATCTTCTGTCATTTGTTGATTGATGTCGATGTGAATCAACCAGAAAGAAATACTAGGCCATTGATCTCATTTACTATATCAGGGTTTTAGATACTACTTGGCTGTCAGATAAAAGTAGATGGAGTGCAGTTCCAACCCTAGAATCAATGCTTCAAACTTGAGCTTTTAAGCCAATAAACGATGTCTTAATTCGTTACTTAGATACTACGTATCACGATATGGCTGAAACATTTGAATAAGCCAAGGTGCATCCTGTGAAGCAACTTAGTTATTCAACATCCACTCAAGAAATATAGAAGTGTCCTCTCGAAACGGTGAAGTACCTGACCTACCATGTACACTGATTGTAATGTCCTGAAACTGGGTTGCCGAAACTGCTAAGGGTGATGGGATATTACGTGGTCTTATAGTGGTGTACCAGGTTCATTGGAGTTTGTATACTAAGTGCCTGCACTCACCCCCTTATATGCATGACCGACAGCTGCAATCTTGACATCGTGGTAGGACTTGTATATCACAATGACTCAACGAGCTAGTATGGCGGAACGCTTGATCCTTCGAGGTCCTACTACACCGAAAAGGTCTGTTTAATAGTGGTTGAACAAAAAGCAGTCGCCGTTTTAATGTAATTTGCTACACAATGATGGGGGTTCAAGGGTGAAGTTTCATTGCTAGCTGGATGGAGTGTGAGGGCAGTAAGGTATTTCTCTTTGATGGCTAGCAGTACCATGTTGATGATATCTTTATGGTAAGAGGGATTAGAAAAGGTCAGTCCGAAAAATAGCATACTCCTGTCACCCTGCGGCATGCTGACGCCTGCTAAAAGGATTCATAGCCGGATTCAAAGACAAAAATCTCAAGATTGAGAAAAACCGTGTGTAACGGGCCTGAAGCAAATGTCGTCGTGGCTCCGCGGTCACGCACTACTCCTTCTTTTCCAAGTACCTCAACAAGAACTAGCCGCTCACAGTGTGGGCAGCCGGGAGGTGTCAACCGCCTACAGTAGTACACATCACCCAATCAAACATAACCCATCCTCCGCAACTCTGTCTCCTCTTTTGCTTTTACCTACTGATACTGATATTGAGCCTCTTACACCTTATGAGACCTCTCATTCTACGACCATTGAGAATGATTAAAGCAATCGAAACCTTATTCTCAGTCTACTAAGACTCCGCCATCGACTTCATTTGGAGCTTTCAATGGCAGAACTCTATGCCAAATAGGAAACCAAGCACTGCTCGCCAAGACTCTGGAATCTTCAGCTATGGATGTATGTTGTATCTTAAATACACGTATACAGCAGCCGAGTGTGGTTACTAAACTGACCTCACCTGGTCAATATGGTAAATCTTTGAAATTCATCTTCGGAGTAACCAGAGAACCAGTGACTAGCTCTCGTGGAATCGCTGGTGTAGACATAGCATTGAGATGTTGAGCAGTGTGCTTCTCTGCCGAATTCTAGTGAACGACCGTCTATTTTCTGTTCGATTGAAATGATCTGTAAGAACCAGGAAGGATCATAAGAACAACTGATACCTATTCGTATTCTCCACCTACTCGCCCAGTAACTGCGGTTCGGATGATGCAAAGGATGAATTACATGAGGTTGTTATTTGGGCTACAAAAGCAAAACGTTCAGATGTATTCATAATGGTAGGTGGCTTTAATAGTCAAGTAGGGACACTGAGCCAATCAGAAGGCAGCTTTAGGTTATCTGCAGAATCTCATCCCCAAGAAGCGACAAGGGTGATCGTCTGTTGCAATTTTCTGACAGTCACTTGTTTTTAGCCAGTATTAACTTCAAGTATCAGGAGAAATGGACACTGTCTCACATGGCGTCCACCGACATCAAACCAACAATGGACACTAAGAGAACATATTACCAAATGAGAACGTGTGCGAGGATAAGTGGACGACAACTGCTTCTGAAGTACCTGTCTGAACTCAGATCAATCATTGGTACAGACACGTAAATGTCAGCGCCTTAATGGTTGAAGAAAACAGGGGACAGTAAATTTTATCTATGATGGATTGAAAGATGAAAACCTAAAGTAGGTATTTAAGGAGGAGAGAGTGAAGTGATTATCCGAGTGTGACAGCAGTCCTCATCCTAAGGAAACCTGACACGAAATTCAGGTTGTTGTAGAAAAAGCCGTAAAAACAGCTGGAAACTTACACCTGAAGTTTAGTAAAAATGCATTGATTTCCACCGCTTCGTCTTAACTAATTGAAGTGAAAAAATGATTTCAGCTGGCTCTGACCAAGATGAAGAGCTGAAGCAACTCAAACGTAAATTGACAAACGGTCTTTACAGTGTTCACGAACAGTGGTGGATGACAAAAGGGCAAACGTTCGAGAAGGCACCAGCACTAAGTAATACTCGGCAGTTGCTTCGGTTTATTAGGGTGAAACCATCACCGAAAAGAATGCGACGCCGATCGACTACCAGGACAGGCGGCTAGAACAGAACACTTCGATGCACAGTTCAACTGGCCCACGGGAACAATTCAGTGATCCAACGTCTAGCCTGAATCTGAACGGGACGTAGATATCCGTATCTCAACTGTCGTCGAAGAGAAGGCTATATTGAACCTGAAACGATGCCAAAGAATCGACACCTGCTGATTTGCCACCCGAAGCTTTTGAAGATGGAGGCGGGAAATTTAGCTGATTAGAGTAACCCAGGTACTAGGTAATGTATGGGAATCAGAGATGCTCCCATCAAACCGGTCGACTTCAATGATGATCCTATTCTATAAGGAGGAAGAGACATCTTCCTTTGACAACCATATGAGAATCAGTCTGACTAATATAGTGTTCAAGAGCCTCGAGTCTATAGTCATCCGATGACTAACAGGATGTCGAGAACAGAAAACTTGAGAAAATCAGAAATGTTTCCGACCTGAAAGATGGTGCTTAGGTCGGATTTTCATTCTCCAACAAATTCTGAAACACATATACGGCAGTCGACACTTGTGATATTTTTTAACATGGAAGCGTCATTCGACTCTGTCGACCGTGAGGTATTGTAGCAGTGTCTTACGACGAAGTTAGTACCCAGCAAGTAAATAACGCTTATAAGAGGTGTCCACTCGAAATCATGTAGCCATATAAAGGCATGTGGAGAGTTATCATCTAAATTAACTACAATTAGGTGTCCACTAGAGAAGTCTACTGACACCATTCCCACTTAACTTCGTTAAAGACGTACTAATGGACATAACCTTAGACAAATCTGAGTTCACAGGGATTGATATGTTCCACGGAGGTCATCTGGCTGACTTGAAGTATGCAGAGGATATTGTCGTGCGAGGTGAAGACATCAACAGTAAGTAGGGTCTTCTGAAGGCGTTCAGAGCAAATCTGAGTATATTCGGTATGCGTTCCACACCCGTTTAACGTAGAGTGATCCTTCTGGACATGTCTACATCAACTCCTAGATTAACAATAAGAATAATAAGTGGCAGAACGTATTGACTGCTTCACTTATTCAAGTAGTTACATGAAACCAAATAAGTTGGTTGCTGACGAAATCTCAGCTCGGATACAGAAGAGCCGTTAGGCAATTTCTAATTTGCATCATCTCTCGAGCCGATTGGCGAGATATTTGACTACCTGTCGAACTACCAGTATACTGCGCTGCAGTACGTTCTGTTTTATTATACGTTTGTGAGACATAGCCGTTGAAAGTAGAAGACCTGAAGCGGTTACGGGTTTCTGACCACATGTCTTCATAGCACTGCCTGCTAATGAGCAATATTGAGGTCAGGCGAAGGGTACTAGACAAGACAGAGAAGTCGATCGGTGAAGTTGTGAACCTTCAGCGACTAAGATGGCTTGAGCATGTGTTGCGCATACCAACCTATTGCCTACTTCGATGTTTGCCACCAGTCAACGTTGAGGGTGACCAGACCGAAGACATGACGCCGGTTGATGAAGTATCTGACTGTTGGTCTGATCCGTGTGTGGAGGTGTAGACTGACTATAGTCTTCAAGATGATGGGGATCAACGGTTGGAAAATCTTGGTGACATTTTCGAATCCGTTACAATCGCACAGATACATTGATTACTTAACGTCTTCGAAAATATTAAAATTTTGACTAAGCTTAATTTCGAAATTCTTTCTCGGCCCTTACATTGCAGTTCTCTTCAATATCATTCCTTTTCTACACACTTCTTGGCCACATGCTTAGATGAAGTGTGACAACTGCAAGCGATGCACGTATTTGCGAGGTTTTACGTTGATCTCGTTCATGCCTTTTTGGTGTCCAGATATAAGAAGTTTGAGAATGGAGTTTGAACCCTGTCCAACTACTGACTGACTTAGACAAAGAGCCAGACTTCCGCTAAAAATGGCATTTGTTTTAGTTGAATTCGGTCAAACCAGACAACCACAAAAAGGATATAACCTATCGGTTGGGATGTGATAGTGAAGTGACACTGATATCTGATATGCGCTGTATTTCCTTAGACTAGTAGAAACGGATGGTAAAAGTAAAATTAGAAGACATCAATGGATTAATAGACACATCTGCATACCAAAATTAACAAACGAAATGACGCACGCATAGTGAAAACCAATGTCATGATTTCCGACGACAACTTTGACTATAGTTTTCGTTTTATCATGATGAAATATATCACGGAATCTCACTACTTGGGAAGTGAAGTCCTCTTTTGTAGCCCATTTCCCTTCATCCAAGATGTCTCCCAAAATCACAACAATATTGGGTTGCAGCATGTATAATGAGGCTTGAAAAGCACGTTTCATCTGCCAGTCCCTGAAAATACAAAGAAAATAAAGTATAAGATGAATGAATATAGGAAAACAGACATTTTCAAATTAACATAATCAATATTTAAGAAAGCCTTAATGTAACTACAAGCTGGCAAGACCCTATTATTATGCAAATTGTTTTTGTCTCTAATAAACACTAACCAAAACAACCAGCATGATGGGAAGCACGGCTAGAAATGCAATATTTAGTTAACAATCATAGATATTGATTTCTAAGGTTTTGCATAGCTGATGTTTCCGCTGGGTTACACATTTCACTTTGAAATGGTTGCAGTGACTTCTATGTATTTCAGTGCCTTCAGGAGTATACAATACATTGCAGTAGCTTCATATACCGTGTGCCAATGTATGACAGAAACAAGACCATCTTTTACGACTCTTGTGTTTTCAAAGCATGCTGACGAGCCTTTTAGTACATCATATTATTTCGTAGCGACATACGTCAATCAGTGTCGTCCGTAGTCTCAGCATATACTTTAACACAGAAATGAGTCCAGATTCAAAGTATAACTCAAAGACACATCCCAGCTTACTATCATCATCATTCATCAAGATCATTACAGGAATAGGCATTACTGCGTAACAGTTCAATCTGCCACATTTCATTTCAGCACACCAAGTAACAAGCTAATAAAATGGAAGATGAAGAAAGTAACAAAAATTGGTGATACGAAGTGGAAATAGAAAGCAGTAAAATGAGAGGAAGCAAGAATGAGATGATGAGACTAAGTATAGCAGTTAAGATGAGGATAATGTCTGTATACATCTGCGCCACTGACGTCGATCCACAGCCATATCACCAAGTCTCCAACCACCAGTTTCTCTTGTCTCGTGGACCCCAACCATCTAGTCTGCATCGCTCCACATCGCTCAAACCCAACAGTCAACGACTTCATGCATTATTGCCATGTTTTAGTCTAGCCATCCCGAGCCGTTGTCCAGTCTGAATCTACTTCGGTCAACATTGTGTGACGACGCAGACGGTGGTTAGGCGTGCGTAACACACATCCCAGCCATCTCAGTCGATGAAGGTTCACAACCACATCAACTGACTTACCTCTACTTCCTGAAATTATACCCCTGACTTCTGCGTTACTCGTGTGATGTGACCATGAAACACGGCCTATGCTACGAAGGCAACGGTGGTCAAACACTTGTAACCTTCTCAGGTCTTCTACCTTCAATGGCCATGTCTCACAGTGGTAGAGTAGAACAGAGCGGACTGCAGCATATTACACACTCGACCCTTAATAGGTGATCGGATATCATGGCAGCACCACAGATGACGTAAGTTGGCAGAAGCCAACCGAGACTTTTGTATCTGGGCAGAGATTTCATCGGCCACTGAGCCAATAGGTCTGATCCGACCTCTCAGGTAAGTGAAGTGTTCAACGCACTGAACTGCGTCACTCTCTACTGTTAGCCGAGGACCGGTTGTGGAGCAACAATTTGTATTTGGGTGGCGAGAAACGCATCCCAAACATTCTCAAATTGCAACTCCAGGTGTGCAGAAGACACTGCATCTTGTCAGCGTCTTCACTTAACAGGTTTGTGCCAGCTGCGGCTGTCGTTTTACACAGCATAGTTCCTCTACAACACAAAATCAAGTTCAACATTCAACATGAGAAATTATTCCCATCTTATCTTACGGCTCTGTTTTAACGGTATATTTATTTACATGTAGTCAAATAAGTTACATGCTGTTAACAGTCATAGGGATTTTACCAACTATATGTCATCGTCTATACCATGCTTACTTCATATTCTTAACCACAGACTAAAATAACTGGATTTCAACAGCAAAACGTCAACGGACTATAAACCATGTAGGCTGCCTGGCAGTGGTCTTCAAGATGTCGGGAACCAGTAACTCTAGGTCGTGGTAATACAGTTCAAAATCGATCGCAGTGGCACAGATGTGTTTACCTTACGTTATCTTAGAAATCTTGGACATTTTAATTGTCTTCATTTACCGATTTTAGTTTTTCTCATACCATTTCATCTGTTTCAATATAATTCTTTCCCTAGTTCCTCTTTACGCGCTATCGTGTGGTAACCTGATACGACGCAATTCCGTACAGCATTTTTCGTTGACTTATCTTTCGAAGCTCAAAATATTTCGATGGTTGGAAATACAAACTAGTTAATAAGTAGTAATATATTTACTCCTATATAACTATACCCAGCGACCGGGTAACATGGCTGGCAGCTTATAGATACTGCGTATCTAACTGTCAATCTACAACACTTTCAGTGTAAAGCATGTTCACACAGTCAATCTCATTTGTTGGTGGATTCAGTGTTTCCTTTTACTCACAACAGTGCGACCAATGCTGAATCAAAGAAAAGTACGTTTCAATTCGGTGAGCTTCGCAAATATCGGTATGCAGTAAACTGGTCACCCTCAACGTCGACTGGTGGCAAACATCGAAGTAGGCAATAGGTTGGTATGCGCAACACATGCTCAAGCCATCTTAGTCGCTGAAGGTTCACAACTTCACCGATCGACTTCTCTGTCTTGTCTAGTACCCTTCGCCTGACCTCAATATTGCTCATTAGCAGGCAGTGCTATGAAGACATGTGGTCAGAAACCCGTAACCGCTTCAGGTCTTCTACTTTCAACGGCTATGTCTCACAAACGTATAATAAAACAGAACGTACTGCAGCGCAGTATACTGGTAGTTCGACAGGTAGTCAAATATCTCGCCAATCGGCTCGAGAGATGATGCAAATTAGAAATTGCCTAACGGCTCTTCTGTATCCGAGCTGAGATTTCGTCAGCAACCAACTTATTTGGTTTCATGTAACTACTTGAATAAGTGAAGCAGTCAATACGTTCTGCCACTTATTATTCTTATTGTTAATCTAGGAGTTGATGTAGACATGTCCAGAAGGATCACTCTACGTTAAACGGGTGTGGAACGCATACCGAACATACTCAGATTTCTACTCAATATGTTTAGAAAACGCTACATTTTGTTGGTAGCTTTATGTAGCAGGAAAATATTACCTGTATACCCTATAACAACACGGTGCCCAGAAGGAAGAAGATTAATTTATGTGAAGGCGGGTGCACGCAAGGTTATGTGCATAACAGGAGATATCCTTGGCGAACAGAACTATTTCCGCATTACGTCAGATGATAACGCTTCATACACCTTCACACGACACTGAGTTTGAGCAGCGACTGTTAGCACTAAATAGTTGCTGAGCTCTCCATTCTGAGTAGGACAGTACAGCAATACCTATCGGTCAGCAGACACGAATGATGTCTTTAGGTCAAGTAACTTAGCAAGTGTCAGGTGCGGTTAAGTGTCTCCGTGCTTGAAAACCTGTCAAAAAGTTATGATTTGATAGATATACCCATCTTCGTCCACATTTGAAACCCACTTTGTCTTTTTAAGTTTGTTGGTCTCGAGCTCCAGTTATGTGTTGTATAAGAAGGGAACACGCTGTTGGTCAAACTGAGTACCCGTGGTTGTTACAAGACTTCTCTTCCTTCTTATAACCTGAAATAATAATCTACATTTATCGTAAGGACTACCTTCGATCTCCACTTGTTCTTTGCATGCTGCTGTAAAGTGAAGCAACTTGATTAGATTAGATAAACTAGATGGGTTTGGCCTTGTCTATTTATTTCGTACATTATGTAGAACCTCTTTTATTCTTTTGAGTTATTTTCCATCCCCCTCATTGAAACTTCTGGAAAGAAACAACTAGGTTATGTTGTTTTTTATAGTTTCAGGTTTGAAACGACTTAGTAGACTTCGAGGAGAGTTGGATGACCAACATTTACGTCTCATTCATGTTCATACTGAATAATAGAGAACTAAAGAGTGGCTGTAGGACAGCTGAGCTGTGATCAAAGTGTTCCACCCAACGTCTCATCCGCCACTCCCAAGAGTTTGTCAGGGTTCTATCCTCCTCGGTGAAGGGTTCACTAACCATCGTCTTTGTGTTCCCAGTATCCGCAAGACAAAAGGCCTGAATAATTGCAGAGTTTCATCTGGTCCTAATGCTTTCTCAACCTTTTCTGGGTTCACCAACCACAACTCTTCACTATCACTGCGGTGACAGTTCGTCGACTTATGCCTAAGCTGTTTTCGCTGCTTATTGTGGTCACAGTTAGCTGAGATGAGTCGATCAGTTTGGTTAAGGTTTCAGAAACTGACTAGCTTTTCTAAGCTTTGGATGTAGATTACCACCCGTCTTTACCACTATTACTACAGCAGACGGAATATCACGTTGGCTGTCATGTCTAGATAAGTGCTGAAATATTTCCTGATTAATTCAAAACCCAAAGTTCTCATCTTCCAGTCGATCCCAGAGAGGTTTTACTGTTCTCTTTTCTGCATCCAGCTAGGAACAAACATACATGTGATCCTACTAACCCGTGCTTGGAATCTAAAACGGGTAGTAAGATTGATGATCTACAGTGATATAATTCGCGTCCATGGTTGATTCGAGTATTGCTAATGGGAAGTCAGACAGTAGCTGTCTTTATGTTAGATGTTAGCTTTAATCACAAAATGATTGCATGCAAAAAGTAGTGAGTGACGATCACAGTTGTGAGTTGATTGATAACGAGAAATATTAATACCTCTAGAACTTTCTAAGCTTCTTTATTTACGCACTGAAGTCGCCTGGCACTAGGACTGCTTTTTCATAGCAAATTTGACAACTTTCGACGGAACACATGTTGCGTATCATTTGAACAGCAGTCGATGGGAGTGTTGGCGGAGAACGCGAATATGCATGGACGAGTGCTAGTCTTGTGAAATTCCAACAGATTCACTCAGTTGGACAACGTACAGACGACTACCGACTTAAATTCATTTAGTATGTTTCCTGCTCTACAACTTTGTTCAATAGTAACACTAGTGATTCCACGCAAAACTGGTCACTGAACCTCTGGACGCTTAGGAATTGAATACGCGAAATTTAATGTGTTTTTCAGTTGAGGTTAAGTGAAAGACAACATTA